TCCTGGACATGTCGTATCTCTGCAGCTGTAACAGCATGTGCTGCAGACGAGCAGGGGCTACGGAGATTGGCTTCTTCAATATGTGCTCCATGGCTTGTGGTCTGACTCGACAACGACTCTTTTGCAGTATATGTAGGTGTGGAAACGTCTGCATCTGAACAACACTGCAAAGAGTTGTTTCTCAATCTGTGCATAATTAACCTCTGTCCGGGTAAGTGTCTTTGGAGCATATGCTATTGGATGTCCGTCCTGCATCAACACAGCTCCCAAGCCATACTTTGATGCATCTACCTGTAGGCATAGCTCCTTGGTCGTGTCGTAGTATGCCAGTATGGGGCCTGGTTCCCTGGTTATGAGATCCTTTATTTGCTGGAAGACTCTGTCATGATTCTGATCCCAGACGAACTCAGAGTCTTGCTTGAGCAGCTGACACAGCGGTGCGTTCATTTCTGATAGTCGTGGTGCGAATCTGGACAGGTAGTTCGGCATACCAAGAATTGTCTCAAGCTCATTCTTATTCTCAGGAGGTGGCATGTCCTTGAATTTCTGTAGTTTCTTTGGGTCTGGCTGGATGCCCTCCCGGGTGAGTTTGTGTCCAAAGTAACTCACTTCTGTGGCCCCTATGACACATTTCTCTGGATCGAGACGCACTCCTCGCTCCCTTGTGCGCTCAAGCATGGCACGGAGGTTCTCGTCGTGTTCCTCCTTTGTCTTGCCAAACACTAGGATGTCATCCACGATGGCTGCCACCCCATTGAGCCCTTCATATGTCTCATTGATTTTCCTTTGGAAAATGTCCTGTGGTGATATTATGCCAAAGGGAAAGCGCAGAAAGCAGTACCTGTTTTGTGCGATTTCATAGGAACGTGCAATGTCTATGCCTTTTTCTAGAGTCAAATCTGACCCTTGGCTCAGCAGCTTTTCTTTGACTTGTGGGAAACTGGTTGCAAAGACAATCCTGTCTTGGACCATTTCATCACAGTTAACATAGCCACACTGCTTGACGAGTAGCTTTAATTAACTCTGTCACAAAGTGTTCGAATGACTCTCCTTCGCCTTGGAGTCTTTCATTAAATTTGTATCTGGCAAAAACGGTGTTCGTTTTCAGCATGAGGTACTGTTCAAACCTGTCAAGATAGGTGGTCAGCCTTTTAGCTTCTTCATCAGACAGCTGCCATGTGTTATAAATGTCTCTGCCTCTTTTTCCTACCCACAGAAGAAGATAGCTGCACTGGGTCTCCTCGGGCTTGCCACTTAGCGGGCCGCTAAACATTAGCTTCACATGTTGCACAAACCTTTGCCAGGCATCGGGAAGAGTAGCTGAATCCCAGTCCATTCGTGGTGCAGGAACTCCCGACGAATCCATTTCGCGGTGTCAAAGGGCGTTTAGTTCGAATTACTCTGACACCATGTAATATTCTGTTCTTTGACTTATGAATAATATATTCTTAAACTGCTTCGTGAGTCTCCATCTTCTTTATTTACCACTCGCTCGGTACAACATAACACACCTCCACTTCCGTAACCCGCCCCACTGCCACTACGGCAAACCCCAAGGGACAATAAGCACGAAGTGCAAACATTATAAACAATACAACAGTGTTATCTAAAATCTGCAGGACACTAGCACTTAAGGCCTGGAGTTGCCCAGCCCAATCTGTAAGATAAGTATATTTTCAATTGTATGTTGGTTTTCACAATTTTCAAGGCAGAGTCTATATAAAAGACTCAAATATGTACAATGAAATTCACAGACACCACTAGCACCACAAAAAGCTCATTCAATAAGCTACAGAGAAGATGTATTGTGTCTTTTATATATATATATATATATATATATATATATATATATATATATATATATATATATATATATATATATATATAATGGCACACTTTTACATTTACACTTTCTTTGTAAATTTCTTCAGTTTCCAATGTTTTCATTGATTTATAATTCTATTTTTTTTTCTTATTCTTACTCCACTCAAAAACCTCATGAACCATAAATCTTCTGATCTCTCATGGTTGCCACATGTAACCCTTAGACTGATCATTAAGACGTGCTCTCTTTACTCGACTCACTGGGTGGGAAAGGAGCAGTGTCTCCTCTGCTGTGGAAACAGACTTGCTCTGTTTAGACAGGGGGACAACAATGGAGATTCCTTTATAGAGATACGCTGCCGAAGACCTGAGAAGGATGAAGGTAAAAAAAAAATCTGTGGTGTCTTTTGTTTTAGGACCAAAAAGAGCTCGACAGCAACAGTAGAACTACATGTAGCTCATTTCTTTTCTTAGAGTTTCGGCAGATGTGGGATCTGATCTTGGCAGTGATGTCCAAGCTGTTTGTGCTGTCAAGGCAGTGGCCAGGACTGACCCAGCAGGTACACACTCCCTGTCCAGAGAGAGGCTGTCTGCATTATTTTACCTGGAGGGACTGGCAGGAACTGAACAACACCAACCTTTACAGTCTGTAAGTGTTGTATCTCTTAAGACTTCATCCCTGATGGCTTTTCAGAATCTAGACTACAGGGAGTGCAGAATTATTAGGGAAATGAGTATTTTGTCCACATCATCCTCTTCATGCATGTTGTCTTACTCCAAGCTGTATAGGCTCAAAAGCCTACTACCAATTAAGCATATTAGGTGATGTGCATCTCTGTAATGAGAAGGGGTGTGGTCTAATGACATCAACACCCTATATCAGGTGTGCATAATTATTAGGCAACATTCTTTCCTTTGGCAAAATGGGTCAAAAGAAGGACTTGACAGGCTCAGAAAAGTCAAAAATAGTGAGATATCTTGCAGAGGGATGCAGCAGTCTCAAAATTGCAAAGCTTCTGAAGCATGATCATCGAACAATCAAGCGTTTCATTCAAAATAGTCAACAGGGTCGCAAGAAGCGTGTGGAAAAACCAAGGCGCAAAATAACTGCCCATGAACTGAGAAATGTCAAGCGTGCAGCTGCCAAGATGCCACTTGCCACCAGGTTGGCCATATTTCAGAGCTGCAACATCACTGGAGTGCCCAAAAGCACAAGGTGTGCAATACTCAGAGACATGGCCAAGGTAAGAAAGGCTGAAAGATGACCACCACTGAACAAGACACACAAGCTGAAACGTCAAGACTGGGCCAAGAAATATCTCAAGACTGATTTTTCTAAGGTTTTATGGACTGATGAAATGAGAGTGAGTCTTGATGGGCCAGATGGATGGGCCTGTGGCTGGATTGGTAAAGGGCAGAGAGCTCCAGTCCGACTCAGCTTGTTTCTGATTTTTATGAGGCGAAAGTGGTGTGTAAGTCTTCTGATGTACTAGCAATGGTCAGAATTCCAATGTTCCGTGCCCTCAGACTTTTACCATTAGCATCGGTGCTAAAACAAATTACTGTTAGCTTGTAACAGATAGCACACAGAACTAGAATTAACTTGTTTTTCTCCTCCCCCTGTTTTATTATGTATTTTCATCTGGTTATTGTTTATATCTCTTTATTTTTTACAGTGTGAAGGAGGAAAAATTAGTTTGCCAGGGAGGCCATACACGACGAATGGAATTCATTTTTCCAAAAGGTAAATTGATGTCTTCTTTATTCTGTAAAATAAAGGGGAAAATACAACAACAACATGTGCATTGTTTATATTGTTATTAATCACCACTGTGTTTTCTCTAAAGCTGCCACTTCGCAGTGATGACTGATGAGAATGACGTTGAAGAAGACAAACACAGCATCACAACCTCTTAAGCAATATGTTTAGTGGCAAAATGTTTTTTGTGCTAGCCAATTTTATCTTCTTTTTTAGTGACTGGTATGAGTATTATTTGGAAAAGTGTCACCAAGTATTACGTTCAGGGCTGAGGCTGATTTTGTAATAAATGTTTTGTAATAGATGTATTTAAAAATACTCCAGAAGACTACTTGCATTTCTATTTTTGATATGCAGCGTTTCAGTGTTTATGTGTACAATGACAGCCTCTGCTGGCTCTTGAAGACTGTCAGCTATGTTTTTCTTTGTGAAGACAAGTTGTAGACCTTACAGTGTTACATGAAAAATTACAACTGCTGCATGTAAAACATTTAAGCTGATCTTTAATAATATGATAGTCCAAATCAATCCGGTCATCTGCAAACTCCTAAAATAGGCTTGCTACCCCTGTATTTCTCTAGTTTTTCATCAGTTCCTCAAAACTCTCTTCTACGTGCTGGCTCATGCTGCCTTCAGGGTCTACTCGTAAATGTCAAGAAGAATGTCATGAAGAATGGTTAATTGTTAAACCCCTGTAGTCAAAAGAAATGACATGTTATTAATTACATAAACTGTCGCTGTCATATAAAAAATACATGTCAGATTATCATATATTTTTGTAGTCTTTTTTGTAGCCACTCATGCCTGTATGAAAAAAAAGTCCTCACAGCAAACTGAACTGTGTAGTCTTCTCTTCTGTCTAAAGACGGAAATCGACTGTCTGAAGTCTATTTTTGTGTCTTCTGTTTTGGAAATAACCTGCTTAAATGTAAATCTGACACTTGTTCAAGTGAAGAATGAGGTAATCGAATTGATCAACTTCTGGACGTACACAACTTACATGTTTTTCAGAAATATTTATGCAAATGCTTAAGACCCTCCTGAAGTTCTAAATTTAGGTGATGTTTTTAGGAAATTACATCTCAGCTATGTAACTCTGTTTAAAAACGAGAGGGACAGAATTATAAGACCATGGCACCTTGGTCAACATTCACTTTAACGTTGTGCTGAGCAGCTATAGAAGTCTACATAGAGTATGTATGTATATATATATATATATATATATATATATATATATATATATATATATATATATATATAATTTAATGAAGGACAACACAAACTGGATACTTTTACAGGGCGAATAATTTCCAAATACATCAAAATCTTTGGGCGTTACCAGTTTTGATTATTCTTGCCCCACTTTAGGTAGTTACTATGTTTCCCACAGTCTTCGAAGGCAGCATCCTATCGCCGGACCTCTCTCAGGTGTCTTTCCCGGGCAGCTGCACGGCGGAACGGAGAAATGAGAAAGGGGCAGCATGGCGGACAGGGAGAAGAGGAAAGCTACCCCGCCGTCTGGCCGCAACATCCAGGTGAAGTCCCCGGCCAGTTTCAGGTAGGTCCCGGCGGACACAGGGTTGGAGGGAGGGAGCGACCGAGCTGCCAGCCTGCCCACCAGGCTGGAGGCTGTGAATGAGGGATGAACCACTGCGGTTTTGCATATCCGAAGGTGCTGATGCTGGCTGGTTGGAGCCGCTGCAGCAGCAACAGTGTCTGTCTCCGCGGAGCTTTCCAGCGTTCCGACTTGCAGTGTGTTGTTGAGTCGCATGTTTTGTGCTTGGGCGTGTCTGCTCCCGGTGGACAGACACGAGCGATGAGCTCCCTGCTGCAAACATGGTTTAAATATGCCCTACTTTCTGCTAGTCTGCTTCAAAATCCTCACAGTACAAGGATACTTGGTCGTAGTGCATGTTTAATACATATTTTTTCCTTTGCTTTGGTACTCCTTTACGACGCAGTCCAAGTCTCCATCATACGTTTGCATCATTTTGAGCTTGATTTGCTGCTAAAACTCTTGATTCGACAAACCCGGCACTGATTTAGTGTCATATTTTCGGATTTTAACAATACAGACAAGGAGTAAAGCATATGCCTCCAAAAGAATATTTAAGGGACTGATTGTGTTGATGATTTTATGGAAATGTTATCAGAGCCATACGTCATCATAAGCTGACTTTTGTGGTTTAACAGTAAGTAAACTTTGATATTAAGTGGAAAGACTTTAAAACATTATTGAATCATTCTTCCTGAATTATTATTCTTATACCAGCTTAAAAATAAAACACCAAAAAGACAGAACAAAAAAAGAAAACAAGTACACTATTTGTCCCAATTACTCACTTTTACAATGCATAGATTTGCCACACAGTCAGACTGATTTTGAATAGCCTAATGTACTCAGTAAACAAAATATTCAGTAAAATAATTACATCCTTACAATAATAATTTAGATTTTGGTTTTGCTCCTTGGGTTGATTTTCAGACTGAAAAAAGCAGTCTGGGGAATCTTTGTGCTCTACAAATGGACATGTAGATATCAGCTGTTTAAAAACGGTAGGTCAGGTGACCAGTCAGAGGGATTCAACCTGTAGAGCTGAGCACTGCAAGAGATTAGCTCCACGCTGATGTCTGCTCTCACATGCTGAGTGCCTCACACACTCGGAGACCATTGCAGCTCTGCTTTAAGAGAAGCTGTGGCATTACCTCAGGGTGATTATTGTGAGGATGGAGGCCTGTGATCAATATTCTCTAGTGAGACAACAACACACACACACACACACACACACACACACACACACACACACACACACACACACACACATTCCTGCAAACACCCAGCCTCTGGCCCAGTCTGTCCTTGTCTCATTAGCTGAGCTGAAAACAACCACCAAACATCTTTGTTCAGGATTTCATGATGATCTGTTATTGGGGATTGAATGCTGCTGATTGGTATTTGGGAAATGTGACTGACTAGAGGAAAGAAGCCAGATAATCCAAAATCTCGGGGGCTGGCCCAGTCCCAGAGCGGCCATATGTTGTCATGTTTTTCTCTCTCACCTCCCTGCCTGTGCACGCTACAGTGAAATCCTATGTCTCAGCCCAAGCCACTGCAGTTAAGAGACCAGCTCTTTGTGTTGGAGATGTTCAGTAAGTGAGACACATAAACGCCTCACCTTTATTTCTGGTGTTTTAGTGGCGCATTAGGATTTGTGGCATGAATCTGAGTGCAACTGAATTATGTATTAGTCATAAAGAACTGGGTTATACAGAAAGGATGCAATAAAGACACCCATTCGATTTTTATGCAAGTCAGATAAATGGCCTGTATTTGTATAGCGCTTTACTTTGTCCCTATGGACCCCAAAGCCCTTTACACTACATTCAGTCATCCACCCATTCACACACTGGTGATGTCAAGCTATATTGTAGCCACAGCTGCCCCGGGGCAGACTGACAGAGGTGAGGCTGCCAGACACTGGTGCCACTGGGCCTCTGACCACCACCATTAGGCAACGGGTGAAGTGTCTTGCCCAAGGACAGACCGACCGAGACTATCGGAGCCAGGGCTCGAACCGGCAACCTTCCAATTACAAGATGAACTGCCAACTCTTGAGCCACACAAAGTCAGATAGCCGCACAAAATCATTCTGTATAACAATAGATTTCTAGTAAAGGTTCTAGGTTTTTAATCCAAAATGTACAGCAGGTAAAATTATTTTTGCCAAAATCATTTATTTCTATTGGTTTATCAGTATGCAAATTGTGTCTTCTGCTTTACTGAAAAGTTTGTTCTCACTGGGTGTACCCTGGATGACTCATGTTACCGCTAAGGATGGAAACTGAGTTCCCAGTAGTTCAGTTCCTTGGAATTGTTAGTCTGCTTTCCTATCGATTCTGCTTATTGGTTCCACTTCAGTTGGTGTCCTGGAGGAGGAAAGTAGCGGTGCAGTCTACAGCATGAATATAGACATAACTTTTATTTTTATTACACAAAAGGACGAGAGCACAATGGTAAAGTGCAAACTGCATACAGGACAGAAACCTTGTGCTGCTAAAAGAACTTCAGCTCTTTGCAATTATCTGCACAGATAGCATGCTAAGCTAGCCAAGAACCCAGTGTGATGTTAAAGCTGAGTGTAGAGCCCAGCCCAACAGTCAGACCCTGAACTTCAACAGGCAACAAATTGATGAGCAGTCAGGCTCTAGCATTTTTCTCCCTGTTCATGTTTCTAAAGTAGAATCACTGTGGCGATCGCATTAAAGTCTCTCTGTGCTAGTTTTCATCTTTTTGCTTTGTGTTGTCAACTTTGTGTTCATACCTTAATACTGAAAGAAACGTCATGAGTGTGTCCTCATTAGAATAGGGGTTTGTGTTGGTATGTTGGCCTGTAGCCTATAGGTTTTTATTGTTAACTGGTAAATTATGAGACAATGATTTTTCATGTCATTTTACAGAGAATAGTGAAAGTAACATAATGAGTAGTAATACATCTTTTGACTTTTAAGTAATGACCCCAACACTAATCAGAGCCTCCAGCATGCACAAACATTTGACCGCACAGCATACAGTTATTTCCCACAAATGTGATGTCTTTGATGTGTTGGCTGCTGGTGGTGACTCTCAACCCAATGACAATTGACAGGAGAATCGATAAGGACACTAATCGATAAGTGATCTTGATAATGGAAATCTGAATCTCTAAATTCATATCAGTTCTTATCTAGTAAGAGTTTTACAACTCATGATGTGGTTGTTATAAACACTGTGCACTATAACAACAACGAAACGTTTTCCTGTTAGGCAGCTTTGGTAGAACGTGTGTAAACTGTGGCATGTGGTGTTAATGATATTCAAGCTGACAATGAGCCGTGACAGCAGAGTTAAAAAAATAGTCTAAAGTGATGTTGAATTCTGCATTTGAACATCCTTTTTATGTTCATCCTGGAGATGAAGAGAAACTGTTGAAATGTTCGGGAAACCGGCAGTCATATTGTAACTGATATTAAGCAATGGACAGCAAAATGCTGCACAATGTAGTCTACAAAAAAAGGAAAACTAAAAAACTTATAAAGGCTGCATAAAATAATTAGACCTTTCAACTAGTCATCCCCAAACAGAATTTAATCTTCAGCTATCCTGTAATATTTAATGTGAAATTAGGTGTTCAGGAAGTCTCAAACCTGGATTGTATTTTTTCATTTTAGAGGGAGTGGTGTGGTGAGGGCTGGGCTATACATTTATGTGAACTTTTGTTTTAAAATTACCTGCCATGCATTATTCACATAACTCACTTGTGGCACAAGAGGGCGTAGTGGGAAATCTGTATCTGTGCAAGTGTGCGTAGTTAAGCATAATTAAGAAGATATGAAGCAGAACAACAGTATAGGATTGCAGACTACTCTAGGGTGCTTTAAGGGAAAAACTCATTAGACATCAGCCAGCTGAGATCCCTGTTGATGGATCAGGTAATGCCTGTCTTTCTCAACAGGTGCAAGTTAACTGTAATCACTTGTTAGAGTTATAAAATAGCTTTCTGTGAATAGGGTTTGAGAGTTCTAGTAAGTTATTTGATTGGTTTATCATACAGTAGCATTAATTTGATTTGGTTAACTTGTCTAAGCTGGAACTTTCACTCTGTTAGCAACAACTGGAGCTGAAATAAAGGTATTGTCATCACCCCGTTGGACAGATGGACAAGGCGGGTGGAGTGGACATCTAAGTTTGTGAATGTAATAAGTCGAGAACAAAGATACGTAGGATTTTCAAATTGATGCCATAGGTGCATCTACTAAAAACCTTGGATAAGTTTGAATGTCAGTGATCTTGACCTCATGGTCAGAGTATGCTTTCTGAAAATCTTGTGAATGCAAAAACTTGAAAACGGGACTACGTAAGATTTTGAAATTGGCAACTCAGGTGTGTTGCCAGTTGCCAGTAGTTTTTGTTATGTATTTCATTAAACTGGCTGTCATTTCCAATATTGCTCATAAAAGTTTCCACCTTAAGGGCACGGAAAATACCTTTGTAGGTCATCATTCATCTGTTTCGTGTTTAAAGAACATAAGTAGAAGGCAGCTGGAGTTTGTTCTAGGGATGTCATGATACCAGAAATTTAGAAGTTGGTACCAGTAGGATTATACGAGTCTCCATGCCCAATTCATTACCAAACCACAATTATTATCCTATGTACTGTACTTAAACAGACTCCTTTATTAAAAGGTATTTTAAAACACTGACATACTGGCATAATTTTAATTTAAAATGTTAACATTAAAATTTGCTCACAAAACACAGATTGAAATGTTAGGGTGGTTGTCGAATAGTCTAGTAACGTTACAGCAAGGATTGTAACCTGTGGAAGAAACTGATTTCACAACAGTATTGCCAGCTATGATAACATATATTTCAGGATTAAGTAAGAAGGATAATACTTTGAATGATGTTAGCATAAACTGAAGGAAAAGTCTTTACACATGATTATGTTTAAAATAATTAGGGATGTTTCCCTCAGAATTAGATTGTATTTGTGGCAGCGAGGCAGATCATGTGTGCAC